AACAAAAGATACATTGTGATACCTAATCATATATAAGATGCATAGTGATACCACTGTGTTACATCCTCGATCGACCACACAAACGACATCAGTGTGATACCCAAGCACATATATGATGCATTGWGATATCATTGTAGTATCACCGGAGGACGGTGGCCGGAGAGAGAAGAGAGGAGGGAGAAAAGTTTTAAAATACCAAAAATATCCTTGCATTAATATTTTAATTCAAAATTGCCAAAATTATAAATTTTCTAATTTATCTACTGGTTTGTGGTTAATATTGGTTCTCATAATTACCACAAATTAATTAGTTCTCATTTGATTAGGCCATATATATATTTTGTAAGCGAAGTTGGTTGCAACTTGCAACTTGCAACTAGAGATGGCCAAATGGGCCCGGCCTGGCCCGTAACCGACGGAGGACCGGGACCGACCGGGACCGGTAGGGACCGGTTGAGGGACCGCCGGTTATGAACCGGTTAGGGTTTTTGACGTTTTTTGGGACCGGGACCGGTTAAGACCGGGACCGGTTATGTAACCGGTTATAGGCCCGGCCCGGCCCGGCCCGGTCAACGAAAGTCAACGAAACCTATATATATAATAAACCGTATTTTTATTGTGTATTTTTAAACGTATTTACAACAAAACGTATTTATAAACGTATATATATATATATATATATATATATATATTACAAAACGTCTTTATAAACGTATATATATATAACAAAACGTATTTATAAACGTGTATATATATATTATATATATATAACAAAACGTATTTATAGTAAAATGTATTTATAATAAAACATATTCAAAATATCATATTACAAACATATTAATAACATATTCAAAATTTATTAATAACCAAAAATTTAAAAAAAAATCAATTTTTTTTTTTGAATAGGCCCGGTCGGGACCGGTTATGGGACCGGGACCGGGACCGGTTGGGACAACCGGTTACTAATAACCTTGACCGGTTACAAGGAAAATCACCGGGACCGGGACCGGGACCGGGACCGGTTATGTCGGGACCGGTTACCGCCGGTTTTTGTCGCGATTAGGCCCGGTAAGGATCGGTTAAGGCCCGGCCCGGGACCGAATTTTGGCCACCTCTACTTGCAACTATGCAGCAAACTGTAGATTACCATCCTTACCTAATTTAGAAACACCCCATCCTTAATCCATTCGACTGCAAACGCCACCTCAATCAAGGCCCGCCACGTGTCTCCGCTTGTTTTCTTCGATACACCTCTCCAGCTAATCAATGACGTTTAGGACATCATATCAAGCAATGTAGGTCACCCCACTTCTCTTTCTCAGTAAATAAAATTAATTTAAATAATCAATTCATCTATTTAAATTAATATATCAAGAAAATTAATATATGATTTAAAATTTAAATTGACCTTTTAATTATTATTTTTTCCATGTTTTTTTAAATATTACTATGTCTGTAATATCTACATCCATAATATTACGGACCTGATTAAAAGATAAAAAAAATTCAAATTCCACCAGGTTAGCAAGTGAGATCGTTGCAATTGCGGACCCGAGTTGAGCATGATATTTTTTTTTGTCTTTTAGACATGTCTACAATATTGCGGATATGGATATTGTAGGCGCAGTGACATTTGGATAAATTCGGAGGATGAATGACTAGGAGACCAATTTGAATATGTCGACTGACTATTTGAGTCAATTTCCATATATATATATTCAAATTAAAAGCATAAAAAGATTGATAACACAAATAAATGACTTTGAATCATCGGTTAAAATAAGACAAGGTTTACATATGAACATTGATGTTCCAATGCTACATATAAAACTTTTGATTAAATTGTAAAACAACATTTTGTTTGGAAAAGTAAGTTTCAGCAACGCGCCTTTAACGACGACATGTTTTTTGTAAGAAGCTATTGTGTCGACATGTCGTCAGGGGCGGATCAACCCTTTAAACACTGGGGGAAAGGCCCCCAGTCAAAAACCAAAAACCTTTGTTAACTAGTTTAAATTTTCTATTTTCGTTTTACCCTTTTAAATTATAAACTATTTATGACAATAAATTGACTTTTAGCAACGACTTCATACCCCTGCTTCTTGTGGTGCAAGAAAAAAAAAATACAAATTACGTAAGTAATAATGAGACATTGCTTTTGCCTTTTGATAGAAATTATAGAAACACTAAGGTGAGCTATAGATTTACATTCATTGAACCTTCGTGGCCATAAGGGAATTTTTATTTCTATTTGGATTTGAACATGGGACTTCCAGATACTTTTGACCTGTGAAACCCAAACTCAAACCAATCTATCATCACCCTTGTGATTTATATACATAGTTATACGTATTTATATTAAAACCAAGTCAAATCATATATTGCAAACAATTTTTGATTAATACAAAAAATGTGTCATCTATATTACCTTATAAATCAAATTTGTCAAAAGTCTTAAAAATAATTTTTAATGCACAAAGTACTATACATTTATGCATAAAGTCTTAAAAAAAACTCATAATGCATTAAGTACTCCTACTTTATACATTCAATCTTAAAATATCTTAATCTACAATTAAAATAACATATAGTAGAAGTTACCAATGCATATTATTACCTTTTCTTTTCATGTTCCCAAGATTATTTTGACACATTTCACTCATGCCTTCACCCTCTCATACCTCTATGTCTTCTCCCCATCTTCAAAGGTGAGATTCAAACTAATATTCACCATAAGTTATTAAAAGTTCTCTCATTCATCTATCATTCAATTGCTCTAGAACTCTCGGTCTCACTCTCTTGATTCTTTGCTCTTGGTGTAAATCAAATACATTTGTGGAGTCGTTTAAATATATTGGATTTTAAACTGTCATACAATTTTTTCCATCGATAGACTGTAATTGGAACCATAACTCTTATTTATTCAAATTGTATTAATATGTAAAAACCAAGTGTAACTTATATCATCGTTAAATCTTCTTTAATAAAACAAGTGAAACTTCAAAATCGTTAAAATTCGCGGCTCCCGACACATTACACGGGTACACAACTAGTATAAATTATAATGCTAGAAACAAGAAAAAATGTAAAAAACTATAAAAAAGCAAAATTAAATTTAAATATTGCGAAATAAAGAAACAGGTTACATTTCACATCATTTAATTAATTATATACTTAATAATTAAATTAAACAAATATATAATTTTAATTAAGAAAATAGTATTTATTATCATGTCTTTGTTTCTCTCTCTCTCTCTCACACACACACACACACACATATACGCCATAATCACACACTTCACTCACTCGTCATCCCCCATGCATTTCTACAAGAAAGAAATCTGAACAAAAATTCTATGTGCACACACACACACACACACACGACATCTATATATACATATATATAATCATCTCAATCTTCAACATCTTCACACCTCCCATAACTCCTCACCTTCCCTGCAACTACCTGTTTCCTTGCTTGCTGGGTCTACAATGTCAAGGATAGTGGCGGACAATATCACCGACAGCTCGGCGTTTTATGATCGTCCGGCGAATGCAGTGCCTTCTCCGACTCTCGGGGAGCTTTTGAAGTATGTTGGAGATATTAGGAAGGAGGGGAATGGAGATGAGACGCCGGCGCATCGTGTTTTGGAGATGAGTGAAACCAGCAGTGAGCCTCGGTCGTTGCCGTTTGTTTTGTCGTTTAATAATCTGACGTATAGTGTGAAGATTCGTAGTAAGATGGCGATTCCGGCGGTGTTTGGGGGGAGGAGGAGGTTAGGTGGTGCACCAGCGACGTCCATGGAGGCGGTTGGAGGAGAGAGGTTGTTTTCGAGGAGTAAGGTGTTGTTGAATGATATCTCCGGTGAAGCTAGAGACGGGGAGATACTGGCGGTGCTTGGTGCGAGTGGATCAGGGAAATCTACTTTGATTGATGCTTTGGCGAATCGAATTGCTAAAGGAAGTTTGAAAGGGACAATGACTTTGAACGGCGAACAGTTGGAGTCGAGATTATTGAAGGTGATCTCTGCTTACGTAATGCAAGACGATCTCCTATTTCCGATGTTAACCGTCGAAGAAACGCTGATGTTCGCCGCTGAGTTCCGCCTCCCTCGAACGCTGTCGAAATCGAAGAAGAAACTGAGAGTTCAAGCCCTAATCGACCAGTTAGGGCTCCGGAACGCGGCCAAAACAGTCATCGGCGATGAAGGACACAGAGGAGTCTCAGGCGGAGAACGCCGTCGTGTTTCGATCGGAATCGACATCATTCATGATCCGATTATTCTACTTCTGGACGAGCCGACGTCGGGACTCGACTCTACCAGTGCCTACATGGTGGTGAAGGTCTTGCAACGTATTGCACAAAGTGGAAGCATCGTGATAATGTCCATTCACCAACCGAGTTACCGGATTCTCGGTTTGCTCGACCGTCTCTTGTTTCTGTCCCGTGGACAGACGGTTTACAGTGGTTCTCCGACGAATCTCCCCTTATATTTCTCCGATTTCGGCCATCCGATTCCGGACAAAGAGAACCGGACTGAGTTCGCACTCGATTTGATCAGAGAACTCGAAGGATCACCAGGAGGAACCAAAAGCCTCGTTGAATTCAACAAATCATGGCAAAACCTCAAGCGATCTCGAAACTCCATCACCACCGGCTACGAAACACCAACACACGGCTTATCCCTAAAAGAAGCCATCAGCGCAAGCATATCCAGAGGCAAATTAGTCTCCGGCGCCGGAGCCACCAACGACATCAGTCCCAATTCCATGGTCCCTACCTTTGCGAATCCAATGTGGATTGAAATGGCGGTTTTATCAAAACGATCATTCACTAATTCACGCAGAATGCCTGAACTTTTTGGGATTCGGTTAGGTGCTGTTGTGGTCACAGGGTTCATACTTGCCACCATGTTCTGGAATCTAGATAATTCCCCAAAAGGCGTTCAGGAACGATTAGGGTTCTTCGCATTCGCCATGTCTACAACCTTCTACACCTGCGCAGACGCATTACCCGTCTTCCTCCAAGAACGTTACATTTTCATGAGAGAAACAGCCTACAACGCTTACAGACGTTCATCATACGTTCTCTCCCACTCCATAGTCGCAATCCCAGCTCTCATTTTCCTCTCGTTCGCATTCTCCGCAATCACATTTTGGGCCGTCGGACTCGACGGCGGCTTTTCAGGTTTCGTCTTCTACTACTTGATCATCCTCGCCTCCTTCTGGGCCGGAAGCTCCTTTGTCACATTTCTCTCCGGCATCGTCCCTCACGTCATGCTCGGCTACACCATCGTTGTCGCCATCCTCGCTTACTTCCTTCTCTTCAGCGGATTCTTCATCAACCGTGATCGAATCCCCATTTACTGGATCTGGTTCCACTACATCTCCCTCGTCAAATACCCATACGAAGCAGTTCTACAAAACGAATTCCAAGACCCCATCAAGTGTTTCGTCCGCGGAACTCAAATCTTCGACAACAGCCCTCTGGGAGACATCGATAACTCCATGAAAGTGAAACTATTACAAAGCATGAGTAGATCGTTAGGCGTAAGCATCACCAGCACCACCTGTCTGACCACCGGCGCCGATATACTGAAGCAACAAGGAATCACCGATCTAACCAAATGGAACTGCTTGTGGATAACGGTCGCTTGGGGGTTCTTGTTCAGGATCCTATTCTACTTCTGCTTGTTGCTGGGGAGCAAAAATAAGAGGAGGTAAAGTGTAAACATTTCAAACTTGATGTACTGGAATGCAATTTCGTAATTAAATTTAATTTACTTTTTTTTTTAATTTTGGGAAATGTAATGAAGGTTAGGTGTAAAACTGTTGGGAAATTGCGAAATACACTTATGAATTGAAGTCAAGATCAGCTTCTAAGTTTAGGTCATCTGCAATCTTTAAGTGGCCCCAAAATTTATTTCCCTTTTTCATTAATGAGGATCTTTAAATATCACAAGAAAATTTTAAATTTATGTTGTTTTTAACTTGATATCCAACCTGCTATGCGAACCGACTAATCCTAGGACGATTATCTGTTTTGCAGATAGCCTAGAGTTACCGCCATTTGAACTTCCGTTGCCATAAAGGAATTTTTATTTCTCATTCGATTTGAACTTGAGACCTCCTGATATTTTTGACATTTGGAACCAAGTTCAAACCAATCAGGTACCACCCTTGTGGTTAACCTCTTGTTTATGTTTGAAGATTGGTAGATCTCTTTTAAAATTAAATAAAATGGTGTTTATGGTTGAGTAAAATATCGTAAAAAATGAGTGGAACATTGAATCGAGATTGATAATATTATGCAAAACCGTTGTTTGATGCAATAATATTATGGCAACTTCTGGACGTCCAAGAAAGAATCCACGATTGTCCCTGAAGCTTTTTTGTTGTTGAAATCTGATCATTTAAAACAAATGTATATATATATATATATATATATATATATAATTAAGCGATCGGTCGTGCATGTTTCCGAGCAAAAAACTTATAACATACAAAGTGATATCCGATTCCTCCTCGTTGGAAAATCTCAATACCAGTTCCCAGTGTTTGAAATGTTTCTTGATGACGACTTCCAAGTCTTGAATGATCGTTGTTATAGATACGGTTTTAATACTTTGAATCTTTCGATTAATATTATAACGTAAAGAAATAACAAACACGTCAAAGACATCAGAAGTCAGTTTGTCATACCAACAATTTGTTAGGTTACCAAATTCCTTTACATTGACATAGACTCACTTATTACTTTATAGAAGTTTTTGTGGATTTGATATGTTTGTCCTTACATATGCTTTTCTTATATCTTAGGAAACACCGTGTTGATGTAATACTTTCAGGTGAAAGTCATACATGCATGAAAGAATTTGAACGATTGACCCAAGCAAGATACGGTGGTTAAAGTTCCGTCTTTCGGTAAATCTTATAAGACGTAAAGGGTGGACATTAAAACATATGGACGCTAACATCTATAAAATCAGTAGTTTTGGAGTCGTGTTCAAGAGCATCTTCTTAGATATAAGAATCTCGAGTTGCTGGATTTTAGGACAATCCTTCTCATGGTCCTTATGTTCATGGCATTCAATTGAGCAAAACCAATCCTTGATCTCCCTTTAAATATCTATTTATTTTCACACGTCACATGCTCAACAATCTTTACTCATATAATTCACAAAGAACTCGAACCCTTTCCCAACCACGAGATCATAACCAAGTCTACTGTACAATCAACAGAATCACAAAAATACACATGAAACGACCCTATATATCTGTATACATCTACTTTAATGTTTGGTAAATACTGTGTTTGCTATTGAGAACAATACATATTATACACTCATAAACACTTATAACTTTCAAGATTAAAAACCCACAAATCGTCTTTTATTTACCAGTGTCGTGAAAGATTTTTAAATAACAGAAAAAGATACCCACGAAAGGCTTTTAGCTTTACCATCATTCATTTATCTAATGAAAGCAATACATGGATGTAATGTGCAAACATTTGAGTCTTGTTGAGGAAACTTGTTATTTACCTTTTGTTAGTGTCCACTTTTGTTTTTGTAAGCATGGGCAAGATGATATAACCAAAGGGACACTAAAAGTGCACAAAGGGATGGGGGATCTTTTCAATATGTGTGTAATTTTCTTATGCTTTAGGGGTAAAAAAGGCAAAATAAATTTACACTTCAATTAGGGGCTAAAATGCAAAATGTATGTATGGAAGTCCGTTAACGCAGCAAAAAGTTACGTCAAGAAAAAGATGAAGAGAAAACAGAAGTGAAAAACGGTTGTGTAACGAACTTACGTGAACAATAAGACTTGAATAAAACAACGTGGTTCTAGGATTTCTTGTTTTCCATTGGCGTGCAGTTACAATAAGTGTATCATTTGCTACGTTTTTAAAATTTTGAATGATTAAGGAATTGTTTGTTTACTTCTTAATAGTTCTATTAAGATGCAACATCTGAATCATTAAAAGGTGAATTTTGTTTGGTAAAAAAAAGTCTGTATCTTAATGGTTATAAAACCCTCTGAATGATTTTGTATCCTAGGCATCCCTTAACCATTCAGCACCCTAATTTCATTGTAAACAATTACCAAACAATTATATTTCATTTTGCACTATATCATGAGAGCCTATTAATTATTCTGACCATTTAATCATTCTGCAATAAATCATTCAACAACTGTCAAACAACACCTAAAATGTATATAATAACAAGGCCTATTTTATTAAATTTTCATTTTAGATAATGTTATTCTTTTTATGTAAAATAACGATATACGTTAATTTTCATATTTTGAAGACCGGAATTTGTCCATTTTTGCTAAGGCAAAACATTACAACAACTTTAACCATCAAATTCTGATACAATACAATGATTAAAATATATAAAATCATTATTGTGAACGGAATCAAGATTTAATGCTATTTTGAATAAAAATGATGAATACGAATTATCGAAAACAGATAAAAGCTTAAGTATACTGTTATTTTGTATTCAAATTTAAATTGACTGTCGAAAATGGAAATTGGTCTGAATATATTGGCATTGTGTGTGAAGGGAGGGGGTTAATTGGAACAAAATTTATTTTATAGGGTCAAAATGTAAATATAAAATTATGTTTTCATGGAATTTGATGCTTTATCTATACTATATTATAAAATATTTGACTAAAATTTTTAAAAATATTTTTTTATACATAAAATATTGTTTATTGATACGTATTACTTAAAATTCAAGATTACAAGTAGGATATGCATGAGTACATCTTATTAAAGCTTCATGTTTGAATTCGTGTAACTAACTGCTGATAAACATTACTTTAAATATAAAAAGTCTAAAATATAATTAAGATAATCATTGAGTTCTGACAGATTACTTAATTATTATCTTAATAAATTATTTTATTAAACCAAAAATAAATTAGTTCGTTTTTAAACTTCAATTAAATTATAATAAGAAATTGAATTAAAGAATTTACACAAAAAAGAGAACTTATATATAGTTAATTTTGATACTTACATCGCTTATTTTTTTTTCTTTTCAAAATTTTATAATATATTCAAATTTATATTTCGTTCAAAAACAAGAACATTTTCATTTTCTCAAAACCACATAAAATCGTATTATAAAATCGATAGAAATCAAAATATAAAACAAAACATTGAAATCAAGATGTATCTCGCTGCATTACATGAGTAACCTTATAGTATTATTAAAATAAATACTTCAATTTTCATTCACACAAGTTGATTATTTGTGTAATACAAAATTTTAATGTAAATTGAAAATAAAAATTTAATACAATTGGTGATTGAATAAATTTTGTTAATTTAAAGATCCGATAAAAACTCAAAAAATTATATCGATATATTGTAAAATTAAAATTTATAAAGTTATTATTTTTAATATAATTTGTTTAGTTTAATTTTTTTATTATAATTTAAAATAAATATGTAATTTATTTAAATCTAATTACATAATATTTTCTGGGATAAATGTAATATCTTTAAATATGAAAAGAACAACTAATTTAAAATTTTCAATAAGACATCAAATAAAGAATATCTTTTTCTTAAGAATGAATATTTGATTACCTATAATGACAATCTAAGGGTCTGTTTGGTTCAGAAATGAGAATGAAAATGGAAATGAATACTGCATTGATGCTGTTTGGTTAATACTAGAAAATCATTATCATTATCATAGATGTTGTTTGGTTGTTTAGCATGTATAATAACTGAAATTTTGTTTTATAGAATGTCATTTAAACATAACATCAAAAAACACAAAAAACACAAAGTATGTTTCATCCAACATCAAAAATATAATACAACACATTTCGATGTTTCAACCGACTTTAAAAATACAATATCATTTAAACACAACTTTAAAAAACACAATGCAAAGTATGTTTCATCCAATACAATACATTTCGATGTTTTAACCGACTTCAAAGATACAATATAATTGGATGTTTGAAACGACTTCAAAAATACAATACAATTCCAAAAAGAGGCTTACATAGCCTACCAACTTCAAAATGCATACCAAAAGATTATGTTTAAGGTCCAAATTTATTCATTAGCAGGATACAAGAACCCAAGCACGTATGATCTTCTGATGTGAGTAGGCAACACAAACAAAACCTTAACTTTGGCGGGTTCATTATAGCAAATCTCAAGAGCTTTACCAATATCACCAGTAGATATTCCAATACTAAGAAGTTCATTCATGACTTCTTGCATCTTCGCATCACTCAAAGAATCGGTCAAAACGTTAGCAGTAGCAGCATATTGTAACATCATTTGACCACAAATAGACTCAAACTTAGAATTAAATTCATCTAACTTCGTGTCAATGGTATTTTGAAGTGAAGGTGATTTCTTGTTCTTGTAAATTTCCTTTGTAGGTGAAAGTTTTTTGCGCTTCGTTGATTTGATAGTGGTTGATGAATTAGGAGATCCTTTTGCATCTTCTTCTTGTTCACATTCATTATCGAAAGAACATAAAAACACATTCTTGTTGTTACTACTAACCTCACATGCTTGTGATATATCCTCAGCTTTTTGTCCCGTCGCTCTATCTCTACCCCATATTTCGCAAATATGGAAATTTGAAGTTTCACAACCCAGTTGCATTCTTATGAGTCTACATAAATAAAAAATGATATCATGAGAACAAAAGAAATACAATTAAAATAAGTAG